TCAAATAAAAGCTACCTTTTTGTCACTAATAACTATTACTTCTTTTTAGCATTTCTCACAAGCCTGATGTATATTATATAAGCATTTTGTATAGTACTGGAATTTGGTTAGAATTTGTGATCAAATTTTCAGCAAAATACATTCATCACATTATTTTCTGTAATCAAATTCTCTATCTTCCCAGCTGTTCTACTTCTCATATATGTGGCTATATATAAAGATATACTGTATCCATACCTTTAAAAGTTAGAATTTTTTAAAGTTGCAGTCAGTTAAAATGCTATCAACTATATCAAAAAATAAGGGACAAGATGGTGTTGCATAAAGACTGGGTAAGATTGGTATATATACCTATACATTAAAAAGTAGATGCAAGACAATGCACAAATTACCAAACCACTGCACTAATTCCACACACAAAGTGGCAATGGTTTTGCCCTAGCAATAAAGTGGTTTGCTTAAGATCTTGTAAAGAAGAATAAAACTATATGTGGAGTGAGAAATGCCAAGAAACAAGAGGTTCTTGAAAAGACAGTGGGGTAGTTAGCCAAGATGGTTACATTGATTACCACCAGGAGGCAATACATGACTGGTTTCATCTTAACTGGGAATTGTCAGGCATATACTATATAGCCAGATCTTATTGTATGGGGCCCAACTGTAGAAAAGTGGATTACAAAATGATAATCAACAAGCAGAAACTCATTTTGGATTTATGATGTAAGTAGATGATGGGCTAGAAAAATAGATGTTGCTTAGCAGGGTTGAGGAAAGTAGAAGAAAGGGAAGACTATGGATAAGCAGGATGGACAGAATCAAGAAATGACTTGAATGTCCTTGGAAAAGCTACAAACTCAAGCTATAACTGGCATTTGTTCATCCATTCACCAGGAATTGAACCCACCTAGATGGTATCTAACTAATCAAGGGAAGAAGAGTCAGAGGACAGAAATTGTTTTCATATTTAAAAAACATCTAAGGTAAATTTTAAATTCTGAACATCCAAGTAAATTTAATTTGTTAATATGAAGATGAAATGGTTTTGCCCTAGCAATAATGCTAATTACATCTGTACCTGTGGAATTATCATTTGCTAATAATATATATTAATAATTTTAACTGATAAGCATCAAAGTAATTGCTCAGATTTGTGTGTTTAAACTTCTCTCTTACTTTTGCTAATATTGTGAGGTTTGTCTGATCCTAGGTTGTGTATAAATGAAAGAGAAGCATTTGCCATTGGCAAGTATTTGAATTAAAGTAGAAGCTTAAAAAAATCCAATTGATAGCTGATGAACCGTGATGCACAACATTGCCATCATGACGAAAAAATGACATTTTAAATGCTACCCTTATTGTCTAGAACACAATAAGGACATGCTTTTTGGACATGCCATGAGAAGGAAGCCAAATACACAGAAATCCCACATACATAGGATTTAAAGAATAATATGAACAAACAGGAAATATGTTTTCATCTGATTGAGAATTTAAAAATGTACTTTCATATTCTCTTCACCTATTTAACTAAAATTATCAGATGTAGTTCTTGGCAGAAAAACTTCTCCATGAAACAGAAGCAACTGCCTTTCTGTGCTTCCTATTATGTTCTGTTTTACTCAGAGTAATAAAACTGGAGGCAACTTTCAAATTAATCTGATTTTTTTCTAAGTAAAGAAGAACTGTTCAACTGGTAAATTCTACATTTATTTTTATCTCCTGAGCAGGGTTCCTTTTATTTGTGCTGAGTTAATATATCATGCTAAGCTATGGATTGTTGGCAACCCCACAGTGGCACATAAACCTAACTTTAGTGCATGCAGCATTATAAATCACAATAGCTGATACCAGAGGTATCCATAGAATCCAATGCTTTTGTCAAAATGATGAAAGCAGCACTGCAGTAGCAAAACAACAAGCTTTTGTATTGTGCACAAAAAGGCTGGAGCTTGCATTACAACAGTGCAATGCTGCTTTGGTCTCCCCGCCACTAACCTCCTCCCCAGACTATCCCTCTGGATACCTCTGAGGAACCAAAACCAAACTACATTGTGATTAAGCATGATGTATGAACCCTGCCTCCATGAGTAATCACTCTTTAGAATGAGAAAGTATAGTTCCTTTGTCAGTGGACACTGCCTAAAGCAGGATTTCTCAACCTTGGCAGCTTTCAGACAGGTGGACTTCAACTCCCAGAATTGAACAAGGTTGGCTGGGGAATTCTGGGAGTTGAAGTCCACCTGTCTGAAAGCTGCCAAGGTTGAGAAACACTGGCCTAAAGGTAATTCTCACTGATTACTGTTTGTCCTGCTATCCTTCCCTCCTCCAAAACTGAGTAGATATAAATATAGGTAAACCACTCTGTTCAGAGTCTGTGCCAAGGTAAAAATTAAAACTACCCCTGTTCCTTTCTGTAGCTATAACCTTGACCTAGGGAAGCAGGTTAATGTTTAATCTCACAATTAATGTTTTTACTGTTCTGATAAGGAACCTTCAGAGACTAAGTTAAAGCAGGCAAGCAAGAATTGACATCTCTTCCCATGCCCCAAATATATGAAACATGATAAACACAAACAATATCTTTCCCTTTTCATTAAGCTCCAGTTTTGCTACCATTCAGAAAGCAGTGCCCAGAAGGGCCAGGGGAAAGAATTTTGTTCCAAGCAGTTTAAACACAGTTTTATCAAATACTTGAATGCAGACACTATTACCTTATCTACTTTTTTTCATTTAAATAATTTCCAAAAGCAAAATGGAAGATTATTGTTCTTTATACTTTATTATATTTATGATACATAATATTTAAATTAAAATAATGAGCAAAGCTCAAATGTATGTTAGCTATAATAATGTGTTGATTAAGCATAGATATCTTGCCCTTTTTGATAATAGGACTTTCTTGGGATGTAAACGAAAGAAAGATAGATAATATCATTAATACCATATTAAAAGAATACCAGGCTAAAGAGAACAAAGCATTAAATCAGCAGCTGCTGTTTTTTGGAGTGATCAAAAATGATACTGGAACATCCTGTATTTGAAAACCACACAGTGAGCAACAATAAGCAAGCAATCATATGACAACTTAGAGACTAATACATTATCACATTTTAGATATCAGGGTAAAGCTCCATTACCAGAATCACAATGAGTTATTAAGGAAGAGAGAGAGACAAGGAGAGAGAAAAAAAGAATGAAAGAATATTACGGTGACTTACAATAGATACAACCATCTTTATTGCATACTTAATAGCATACCCCTTTGATTCCCAGGGTTGATTTATCTGAAGGAATCGGCATTTCAAATAGATTTCTTGAAATTTATAATGTATACTGCTGTATACATGGGGACATGCTGCCTTTGTATGAATACCTTAATGGAGAAGACCAAACTGTACTTTATCAGGACCGAGAAGAACTACTGAGGCACCAGTGAAGGAGAATTTCAATCAAAATGTATTGGAGGAAGATGATTCTGGATAGGTCTGAAGGTATCAGAATTATTCATGCAGGCACGACTTTAATAAATAATTTCAGTGCCTTGATTTTCAGGCTCTTGATTCTGGGTCCTTAGTACTACAGAAGCGTCCTGAAATTCCTTGCTTACAAAGTAATAACAAAACGCATCCAAGCAGCAGTTGGTGTTAGCAAGAATAGCAGCAACATTTAAAAAGAGGTCATTTTGTTTACGTTTAGCACAGCTAGCATATTTGGAATCTATGAATGAAATGAAATATGCAACATGAAGTGGTAAGAAGCAGATGATGAATGTGGTCATATTTGCAAGAATAATGTTGATTGCTTTCTGAATGAGCTTCTCTTCATGTAGATCAACATTCTTCTTTATTGTGAGTTTTTTAATTATTTGAATAGAACAGAAACTCAAGATAATTAAAGGTATAAGAAACCCCCAAATTGCTGTGGCAAAAATATACACTGATAGTTTTCTTGAATTTGTTCTAAAGCAAACTCCTGGAGGCTCTTCATTATTCATATATTTGGATATACATACAAAACTTATCATTAAGATCCAGAAGAGTCCACAGACAAGAGCTGACTTCAAAGGAGACCTGATATTCTTTGCTTGGAGAGGGTACCTTATAGCGATGTATCTATCAAGCGCTATGATGGTAATAAGGAAGATGCTCATGTATCGGTTAATAAAATATGCAGCCTCCAAAACTATGCACAATTTGTTCATATGGTCAGTCCTATAAACTAGCTTGAAAGGCAAAGTGATGAGAAATAGACAGTCTGTTATGGCTAAATTGGTCATATATACTCTGGTTTCAGTCCATTTGGTTAGTTTGCAGCAGAATACCCTCAAGGCAAAAACATTTAGAATAACTCCAATAAAGAAAACTGGTACATAAATGAATGTTTGAGCAAGAGCAATGGCACGGCTTGCACTAGTATCGTTGCTGCAGTTCATTTTTTCTGGACCATTACTGTACAGTACATGCTGTAAAATAAATGTTACAATAATGATTATTTTTGTAATATTCACATCTATTTATATATTTATTTATAAATAAATATATAACAATTCATCCTAAGCATTATGTTTAATACTTATGTACAACTTTGGAGTATGTGAAGTACAGCCTTATTAATAATCCTTGCAACAACTTTATAATGAAAAGTTAGTACAATTATTCCCATAGAGCAGATGGGAACTAATTGCCAGAATGGGAAAGGGAGCTGCTTTAGACCTTCACCAAATTAGGTGAACAAATTTGAATGTTATCAACTGTATTATTTTTAGCATCTTGGAAATTATTTTAAGTCAGTAGAATGGATATATATATATATATCATATCATATATCATATCTAGAGATCGTGCCATGTGAACAAATACTAGACAGTGCCATAAGAATGCCTCAAGAGTAGAGAAATTTTACAAACATGAACTCTGACTTGCAAAGCATCTCTCTCCAGAGTTCGCATTTTTTTTAACAGCTGCCAGATTAGAAACACAATCAGAGCTTGTATAGTATTAGATTTTAGTCTGCTGACTAGTCCTCAAATAGTGTTTTTGGCAGGCTACAGTACATGGCTATGTAAATGTAATCTTTGCTTATAGTTGCTAAATAGTAGGCAGAATCAAGTAACTGAAGTTTTCAATCTAATTAGTGATCAGCTGTAGTACAGTGCTTCTAGATAGATGGTTTCTATCATTGCAGGTTTTCCATTCATCTTTTTAAATGGAAAATATGAGGAAAGCACTGAAGGATTACCGTGAACAATATTGTCAGATTACATTATAAGATTTTGTAGATTAAGCAGGGCAATTACACAATAAAAGACTTACATGGAAGTATCTAGGCCTCTTTACCCAACAGAACTTACCATTCAGAATTTTAAGGATTTCACAGATATTCTTCTGTTCGCTTCCATCTTGGTTTTCTTTTTCCTTCTTCAGGGTGATGAGTCCTTTTGCTCAGCCTGCTTTTTTGTGCACCTCTCTTTCTTCTTTTGGGTTAATCACCCTAGATCTGTCCTTTTCCTGTGTTAAAACAGTTTCATATACTGATATTGATCTTAGTAATGGCCATATCTACTACTCAAAATCAAAGTAGGCTTGCAGAAATTCAAAAAAGTTGATCTTGAGAATCTTTGGAGTTTCCCCCAAAATTAGCTCAGTGAAGACAGCCTGGTGAATGATTATAAAATGCTGATTGAAAAGAAAATCCACTTGAAACTTTTGGTTGTTGATCTCACCACTAGCTTTTAGTTTAAATATTCTTTTTTTTCTCTTTCCAGAATCTCTACAATTCTGAAGGGTTCCTTCTGAGGGGAGGAATTTAACAGTGCTGGAAATGCCACTGTTCTTTTATGAAAAAAGATAGCTGTTTAGTATAGAGGAACAGTGACTAATCTGTTTTTCATCATTAAGGAAATAATACTAAGTCCTGTGGTTTATCACAGAGTAAAGCAGCATCTTTCAGTGACCCAAACATGGCAGGAAGAGAATTTTGCATTTTACCATGGTTTGAATTCTAGAGGCTTTGGCCAGGCTGCAATCACCTTACCCTAAAGAACAAAAACTAGACTAACTTACATAAAGCTGTTTATGGAATGTTATTTCCTTTAATCTATCTATCCATTTTCAAGTCTTGTGAGCTCTGGAACCATTTAAAAAATATTGTTCAAGGATAACAAGCAATATTTGAACACTGAATTGCTAACCTAAATCTTTTTCTAGGATAGAGTGTGTGGTACTTGTACAGATAAACTAAAGCTTGTAGTTTGACAATGAAGAGATGTGTGTTTCCCTATATTAAGCAATATCACAGAAATTAGCACTCCTAGTATTGTGTATAAAAATATTTATGGAAATGTATATGCTCATTTAAACATCACTGTCTGGATATTGACAATGAAACATAAAAAAAGAGTGTTTTGTATTCCTTTTAGAGTGGAAATATTCAAGTAAAGGGGAAAAATCTCATTGGTCAAATGTCTGATTGAATGAAGTCATTGTGAGATTTTATCCTCCAGAATCAGTATATGTAGCAGGAAGAACCCATCTATAAGCCAAGTCCCAAGTCGAACATGGGTGAGAGCTGCTACTAAGGCCCACCTTGTGGTGGTAAGAGCAGAGAAGTGACAGTACTGCTCTGCCCTGATTGCATCTGCAGATAGCCATCTCACAGCCCTGTTTTGGGTGACCTGTGCCCTCTTGGTAGAAGGGGCTCAGAGACCCCTGCAGGGTCGTGTGGAAGAATTTGCTCAGCATTTATCATATAAAATTGCATGAATTAGTTTGCAGTTGGATGCTGGCCTTGTTGCAGGTCCTGGGGAGATGCCTGGGGCAGAGTCTTGCCCTGTAATCTGGGAATGGTTTGAACCTGTTGGGCCTGAGGAAGTAGACAGGGTCCTTGTTGTTGGAAAATATGGGGTTTCAACCAAGCCTATTTCACACGAGCACAAAGGGAGGGGCGGCTCCGCTGTGGCCTAGCTTTGCTGCTTTGTGTGGGAGGGGCTTGGATCCCGTCTTTTTCCTGTTTCCCTCATTTTCTTTCTCTTCTCCTCATGGCTCTCCACAAGGTAGGAATGAATCCTCTCTGGTCCTCATGGTTTTTGTATTAACATTTCACAACCACAACATTGGGTTACGGACCCACCGTATCAGTCCAGGAGGTTTCTTTGGTCTTGCAGCCAAGAAACTGCTTGCACATTTTTAAAAATTTATCTTTTAACAATGGAGAGGGAGGAGGGGCTTCCCCCCATCCCAAAGTTGAATGAAGATAATTTTTCAGCTTGGTTATACAGACTAAAGCTACAGTTGGACTTTCAGGTCAGCCTAGATTGTTTAGATTCCCCTCCACCATAACCAGGGGATTCTGAGGAAGCCGAGAGATTATGGGAACAGAGAAACAAAAAGGCCATGGTTTTAATTTCTAGTTCACTACCTGATCACAAACTGGCAGAAATAAAAGATCTTCCCAGTGCCAAAGAAATGATTGAGAACCTGG